TATATATATATGTGTGTATGTGTGTGTGTGTGTGAAAATCCATTATGTAATAACCTAAGAAGTTTAGATCAAGTCAAACAATGTAATAAGCCAAACACAAGACGCATAATCTGATTTGAACTTTTAAATTTAATTCTGCATATCTAGATTTATATATATATATTAAATTAGATTAAGATTAAAATTTAACGGTTATTAGTCTATAAATAAGACTTTTATATATAAATACACACTTAAATAAGATCTTTCTTATTTTATTAATATATATATTTTTCATTTGAAAGAAGTCTAGAGAGGAAAAGAGATTTAAATCTTGAAACTTGACATTAATTGGATAAAGAAAGGGAATGATAAATAGAGTTGTCAACGCTGATCCAAATTCGAAAATTTTATTCGATTTGTCTTAATTTAAACTCATCATAACTTGATTTGGACAAAAAAATAAAAATTCAAAATGATTTGAATATCCGAATTGAATTGACTTGAAATTGAAATAACTTAAACTTAATTGGATTTAAGAGATTAATTCAAAACAATCTAAATTTAAACTAATTTCACTTTAAAAATTAATGACTTGACTTACAAAATGATTCAAATTCGAGAAAATACGAAATTTTTTTAATCTAAAATGACCCGACACAAAGTAACCCAATTAATACCTTTGGGACATCCTGATACAGCATAAATTGCTATTATGGTCTTGAAAATGTCCTTATAAGGCAATAAGAATGGAAGAAAGACTAATTGTGTTTTGTTAACCCAAACTTATATTCAGACCAATAACGTAATAGGAGACCGCTGTGAGCTGAGGAAGGAGTAGATGAAGATGAATCAAAAAGGAATGATTTTAAGTGCTTGATGAACTCCTTGGGCTTTTCAATGTTAACAGCATGCCCTGCATTCTTTATCACTACAAGCTCTGCACTGTCCCCGGTATGCCTTCGCCGCACAATCCAACATACAAATTATTAAGACAAGTTTTATACTTGCACAAAAAGGACAACCGCAATATAATACATAATTAATTTCAGATTATTCCACTAACCTTTTTAATCTGTGGGCTAGTTCCAAAGGGAATATCAGATCTTCTTCTCCCCAGATTATTAATGTGCGCTATAGGAAAACAAGTTCAATGAACAAAAAAACAAATCGAAAATGATAACACCGTCCAGGAATTCATGTTGTGGTGGGTATGATTTAAAAAGAAGAGATCAAACCTGTGTGATCTTAGGAAGATTAGAGAATTCTCTATCTTTTAGTATTGCCCGGATCAACTCTCTTTTCTCTTCAAGATAATCCGTACACATCACCTAGACAAGAAAGAATGTAAACAATAGTGAAAAAGCCAAATTTTCATTTGTATCAGTGTTAATTTCAATTGCTTTAACATATCCAGGAGGTATAAAAAGATTGAATTTGTTCTGATCGTTTCCACATTAGTCTGATGGCAAGGGTACTACATTTTCTATAAGGCTTGCCAGTCCATATTTCATACTTGTTCTGTGGGTAACAATTATAAACAAGCAAGTGGATCAATCAGATTAATCTATTCTTTCTAGAACCTGGACCAAACACATATCCATAGAGGGACAAGTTATTAGGAAAGTGAATCTTACATCAATGAAATCTGTGAGAAAATAATTTGGCACCCACCTGGCTGCAGGCTTTACGAAGGAAAACCTCATTAATTCCCTCAATTTCTCTGGCGTCTGAGGCAACAAAATGCTCAGAGCCTCATCCAAATCTGCAACATTAAAGAAACCCTCCTCCAAGTCCTTCTCCTCCAAGCAAACACCAGCGCAGCATAGCACCAACTTCTCCATTTTTTCTGGAAACTGCGCTGCCATACTATACCCCACAAACCCACCATAGCTTATACCCACCAGGCTCATTCTTGGCACACCATGTTCCTCCATCATCCTCATCACGCATTGAGCCTGGAACGACTCGGTCCGGTCGGTTCTGGTTGTGTAGGATTCACCGAAGAAGACAAGGTCTGGTACATAGACATTAAATCGGGACGTGAAGTGGCGAAGATGCTGTCCATATTGCCACATTGCATTGGCACCAAAGCCATGGACGAGAAGAAGATTGGGCCTTGATTTGTTTTGGATTTTTGGGACCCAACAGTGCATGACAGTGCCTTCGCCAAGATCAGTCCTAACGGAACGAAGTCCAGCATTGGCGAAGGAATTGCGATAGAACCAATCGCGTGATCCGGTAAAGCTGAAGCATTTTGACATCTTAAACTGATGCATTGTAATCTCTCTAATTCGACCAGGATTTCGAATTCAGGTTTTGAGGTATTTCAGTTCAATGATTTTGGTGAAGATGAATAAACGTTTGGATATTGTCAAATGTCAATTTGTCATCTAGATCAGATTCACTGGGGGATGATAATTTCAACTTCATTGAAAAGCTAAGGAAAAAGAAGAAAATCTGTTGAATGTGGAACTATTTTTTTGGCGAAACTCCAAAGTCTAGACATAAACTTAAAAGCCAGCGGGAATGTCGCATGTTCATAAGCAACCCAAAGAAAGATTGGTTATGCTAAAACCGAAATGGTTAGGAATTTTTGCCTCAAATTAAAGGGGATCATTTTGGTTGCTTGTCTGAGAGTCCAGGTAAAAGGAAACTCATTATAACTTATCAGGAGGATACTTCTAAAAAGTTTTCCTTTTTTGCAATGATAATGAGTGGAGAGAACAGAATGTAATTGGATGCTCTCTTTTGCTGTATGGAGAATGGACATTTTGATGGTCAGGAATAAAGCTGATGCCCAAATTTTGGTACACAATTCTGTATATAGACCAATAGGTAATATTGTCCTTTAACATTGAATTCGACTTTGGATAATTTTGGCCATAGATCTATTTACTAGTGATGTGTCCTTCAATAACCGTGAACCGGCGATGACTGAGTACACAGGCGATCGATAAAGAGATTCGGCTCCTCTCTTTTTGACTTTTCAACAGGGGAGACCAGTTCATGGATAGATAAGAAACCACCTCATGATTTGTCACATCATCCACGTATATAAAAGAATGAAATTTTTAACCTCGCTGGCATTTTTCATTGCGGTTCTCTTTTCTCTTTGTTTAAGCACAAACCCATGCCTGAAATCTGAAAATCCGCAAATGAAGCCACTAACCAACTTGGATCTTGGATTCAGTTTTTAATTTGCAGAAAAAACCCAAATCTCTTTTTAAGTTCTCAAGCCCCTTCTCCCTTTTTGGTCCTTCTGTCAACCCCTTTTCCAAAGGTGATGTATGTGATCAGAGCTTTTTTTTTTTTTTTTTCTGAAGAGCCAAAACGACAATCAAAAAGTACTTTAGACGACCACAAGAATTGCAGATGGAGTCCCAAATCTTCAGCAACGATAGCGTTTTTTAGTTGTCAAGGCCCATGAGTCACTATGAACGATGTCAAACAGTTGTTTTGATTGTTGCATGTTTGATATTCTTATGATGACATTGAAGGCAAGTGACCTTTGCCTTATCAGGGTAATATGGGTTTAGAGGTGCTGCATGTTTTGGTAAGTAGCGCCATAGTGTTCTACCGTCTAGCTGAGTTCTTACTGTCATCAGACGTCTTTTGTTGCTTTTCTATGAGACTTTAAATGGCATAATGGCTGCAGTTATTAATGAAAATTTCTTTAAGCCTTTCAAACAAAACAAAAAATATTGTTGGCTGGAAGCTTGGAACTCTGTAAAGGCTATTACTTTCGGATCAGATTGGAAATCAAGAAGTACGAGTCACAGGAATCTGTGTTTGGGGTTTTAGCTTTTTAATTTGTACATGAGATGTGGGCAGAGGTAAACTAAATAAACAATAATATTATTAAAGCTACTATCAACCAAAAAATAGTTTTAGCTATTTTTTTGAGACATTTAGAATTTTCCATTCTTATTTTTTCTAACTACCGGCAGGATTTGAAGAGGATATAAGCTAAAAAGAAGTCTTAAGAAGTTAATAGAGTTATAGAGAAAAAGAAAACAGATGATTATATGTCTGATAATCCAATGTATTTTAACAAGCTAACTACCTTGAACAACCTAAGATAAGAATTGGTTGATGACGTGGTGTATTTAGAGCCATAGATTTCAACTCTAGTAAGAAGTTGTCTCATCCCTAGTCGACTGGATTCTCCAGTTAAAATGCTCAAGGGAAAGGACCCGGATCCTGGATAAAGATGAAGACAAACTGAAATAGTAGAAGTCAATGCCTTCATTTCATTTATAAGAACAAGCACTGAAAATAGTAGAGCTGGATTTATGTGAAGTAAACACACAGAATTGAAGCATTCTTCATGCTAGAGTTCATATTACTGCTCCAGCCTCTAGCTTATATATTGTGATAAAGGGCGGTAGAAAACAACAATCAAATGACAAACTAGAAACAGTTATATTACGTATGCATCATAAGAATGGACTTATTTTCGCTTGAGTTCCGACTGCATTAGCTTCTGGAATTCCTTCACCACAGATTCAGGCAGACCCAAGGATAAAATTATATTCTTACTGTCTTTTCCCTGAGAAAGGGTGAGAACTAAATTGTCCACCATCGATGCTGGTACAAGTTGCTGCGGCTTTCCCCAACCGAAATCTAGATCATAGAAAGTCAGCCTACTCCATTTACTAATCCAGCGGGTATTCTCCATTTCAAGTCACCCTCTTGTTAACTCAGAGTAATCTATGGCAGACTTTATATAGTCTTCAGTCACCTCTCTGATAGCCTCGTGCACTATATTAACAGCAAACGAGAATGGTTTTTGCACCAAATCCCCTGCCGTGCACTGGGCACACGACCAAGCGATGCCATTGCCGAAGAAACATGCAGTCAGTGCTGGCTTGAATTTCGGCCTACCGTCAACAGCAGTGAGAGGTTTGGTTGTTTTGTACGGTTCAATCTTAAATGCCTTGGTCGTCATTATCCACATTAACGCTGAGAGCACTTCGAAGCTTGTAGGAGGTGCAGCAAATTCATCTTGCTTCGCCATTAGCTTAAGTTCGTGAAGTTTTTTGGGTTCAAAGCAGAAGGATTGATATACGATGGGTTCCAGCATTTGTAAGGTTATATTTTTCATTGGCCTCTCTTCCCCCACGTATTCAGGATGGGCTATGTCAATCCAAGGAGGCTGCCTTGCAGATGATATGGACCGGTCGAGATACGGATCAACAGATAAGGGCAGGCCTTTGGTTATTTCAGCCCAAGAATTTCAGAAATCTGCCAACGCTTTACCGTCAACAAGGACATGGTTCATTGCCATGCCAAGAACAGTCCCTCCACGTTTGAATCTTGTGATCTGAAGAACATAAACGACGACGTTGATTAGCAAGCTATAATAATATCCGACAATAATGTACAATAATGAATTTGCTGCTTGAAGTAATTTCAAAGAGAGTGCTATATACACTTCCAAAATCCCCTGCCAAAAGGATTGAGCAATGCTACTTTGATGTTCTAGTGCTCATAGCCATTCCTAAATGCACAGTATTTTCATGTTTACTTCATTTTTGAACAGGGAAAGATCATTTTTGAAAACTCGAAGAACTAATATGGATTCCTTCCATGGCATTAGCTTTTTCAAGCTTCATAAAATAAAGCTCATATAAATATGGACAAAAATAATCCTATTCATTACATGAACTAATTACTAATCTTACTACATAAAATATCATATTAATATTGTAATAATAAAATTTTCATATTTTAATAATATTTTTAAAAAATAAATTAAAAGAGGAAAAATAAACATAGATAAACATTTACATTAAATTAAATTAAAATATCATATCAATATTTTAATATTAAATTAGTAATGTTTTAATATTAGTTTATAAAATTATTAATGTCTCTATAATATTTTAGTAAAAAGAAATTAAAATAAAAAAGGAAAAATAAAAATAAAAATAAAAAGAAATTAATATAACATTTATATTAATATTTTATCCCAACCTAACATGCCGACGGAAGTTAGATATCTCATCTCCCATTAGCAAGAGGTGACAATTGATGGTTCCTATGGAACCTTTACACGGTTGGGCCATATATTTTAAATTTGTAACCCAAGCCCACAATCAGATTTAGATTTACTTTATTAGTCTGAAGATCGGTCTACTGCAAACAATATATAAAATAATCCAAAATAAAATCCTAAAAATGGAAAAAGTTTTATAATGGTAGCATTTGTTTTTTAGTTACATAATCATTCAAATAAATATAGTTATAACTTATTTGACTTGATTTTTTTTAATTTAAAAATTATTATGAAGCTCTTATGAAAAATAATAATTTAAAAAATATGTTTTTAAAAAATGCTTGATTAATAAATCTCAAAGCTAGAATGTCATGGTGAGTCTTGAAAATATAAGAGAAGTTTGTTTGGTATATTTATTTTTATAATTTTAAATAGACTTTAATTTTATTTAAAATTATAATAAAAAGTATTTAATAAATAACGTTTAGTTAATCACGAATTTCTTTATTTACAATGGAAAAAAGTTAACTTTATTGTTTTACTTAGTTAAAACAAACTTTTGAAAATATAAAATGTATTTTTATAAAGCATAAAGTTTATAATTAATAATAAATCATACAAAAAATGAAAACGGATAATGTTAGGATTATTTTTAATAGATGAAGACATTTTTGAAACAAAAAGAAAAATTCTCCTAAAAAGTTGGCATGTTTTTAAAAGAAGAGAAAAGAAAACACCTCTCTAAAATGTTTCTTGAAGCTATTTTTTTTAATAAAATCTTAAACTACATAAAATTTTTTTTTTATCTTTCCATGTAGTATTTAAATATTAATATATAAATTACTTTTTGATTAATTTTTTTAATAATATTTAAATATTATTAATATATAGACTTTTAATAAAATATTCTTTTTGACCCTACTACCTACAAAATTACAAAAGAATTAGTGAATTGATGTGTATCATTACGTATATAAAATTCTTTATAAGTAGAATAATAAATGAACATTTTTGTAATTAATTGGTGTCACATGACACTACTGGGGCACTGTCATGAATGTGGTTCCACCTTTGATAGAGTTTGGACAATAAATTTAAATCAGTATTAGTGAAATCTATTTTCAATCATTAATAAATCTATCTTTCAAATGAAAATAATAATAACATTTGATTCATGAATAATGTATAAAATTTATGGATCAATAACTGTAAACTCATAAAAAACTGTGACATATCAAACAATGATATGCGGCATGTACCTGCACCCTTAACAGAGGCACGTATACTATGCTTTCACATTATCTAGGTGGTGAACGAGTTGTCGTAACTTCACAGGATCAACCCTGCTGATATCACCCAATTCTTCGACAGTGTAATCGGGGAACTGCCTCAACAAATGGCACGCCTTCCCCAGAGCACCGCACAATCATTTTCTTGTCCCATGTTTCGGAGAGACAACCTGCGAAAGG